CATCACCAAGTAACTCAGTGACATCACCAAGTTGCTCAATGACATCAGCAAGTAGCTCAATGGCATCAAATTGAAAGTAAGCATCTATTGAAAGTAAGCCTCAAAGATCCGTTGGATTCGGTTTTTTTAAAAAACAAGTAACTCAGTGACATCACCGAGTAACTCAGTGACATCACCAAGTAGCTCAATGACATCACCAAGTAGCTCAATGGTATCACCGAGTAACTCAGTGACATCGCCAAGTAGCTCGGTGTCATCAACAAGTATTTCAGTGACATCACCAAGTAACTCAGTGACATCACCAAGTAACTCAGTGACATCACCAAGTAGCTCAGTGACATCACCAAGTAACTCAGTGACATCACCAAGTAACTCAGTGACATCGCCAAGTAACTCAGTGACATCGCCAAGTAACTCAGTGACATCACCGAGTAACTCAGTGACATCACCAAGTAACTCTGTGACATCACCAAGTAACTCAGTGACATCACCAAGTAGCTCAGTGGCATCACCAAGTAACTCAGTGACATCACCGAGTAACTCAGTGACATCACCAAGTTGTTCAGTGACACCACCAAGTAACTCAGTGACATCACCAAGTTGCTCAGTGACATCACCAAGTAACTCAGTGATATCACCAAGTTGCTCAGTGACATCACCAAGTAACTCAGTGACATCACCAAGTAGCTCGGTGACATCATCAAATAGCTCAATGACACCACCAAGTAACTCAGTGACATCACCAAGTAACTCAGTGACATCACCAAGTAGCTCAGTGACATCATCAAATAGCTCAATGGCATCACCAAGTAACTCAGTGACATCACCAAGTAACTCAGTGACATCATCAAGTAGCTCAGTGACATCATCAAATAGCTCAATGGCATCACCATTGACTTAAAAGAACATGGCGCACCAAATCTAGTTCATGAATCAACTCAAATCACATACTTAGAAAAATTGGCCGATGAGTGTAGGATAAGTGTGGTCTCTTCTGGGATATAAAGTTGGACCTAACACTCACTTTTATCACTAATTGATGCTAAAACAGAAATTGACTTACTTTATTAACAATACTTTACTATAAAAAGGCGAAATATTGTAATGTAGCTAACATGTGATTGGTTTAATGAAAATAAAAAAATAACCACTGTCGTAAAAAGACAGGGACAAAACTCAGAACACACAAACAAGTCAAGTTGCAATGTTAGAAGAATATCTCGACAAAATTAAGAATTTTTCTGAACGTAAATTATTTCTAAATTTCGCCTCAGTGTTCATGATTTAGTAATTGAACAAGGTCTAAAAGGAAAAAGTATCTGTGAAAATGTAATGTTGGTGTGAATGGAGGATCCGTGTCAAATGACGGCCAAGTGAATGTTGGTTTTTGGCGTAATTTGAATTAATGAATTGGCGTTAGCGAGAACGAAGTCTCTTCCAACAACAGGATTTTGAAATGAACAACAAACATCAAAATCTTATTTTTAATTTGGAACTGTTCATTTTATTGACGACCGTGGAGTATTTTTAGTTATTTGCCCCACAGAAAATACTGATACATCAAATGCAAGTGGAATCAACACTATTTCCAGCAGTAGTTGTGGGTCCCAGGAAAGAGAGCCATCAGAACGGAAACTGACTGGTAGCATTGCAGTTTGCACTATTCTTTGATCTACTATCATTTGCTATTGGCCTGGCGTCAAATGAAGATCTACAAATAACCGAAAACGCCCCCTAGCGATTCAATAAATTGAAACGTCTCAAAATGAAAATAGGATTTTGATTTTTGTCGTCCTTTCAAACTGTTGTCGTCGAACACTAAATGTCGCCGCCACAGGCACAACTTCTAACTACGAGAATCACAGCTAAAATCTTAATTGTGATTACTTATTGCCAATTAATCAATTAAAATAACGTCAAAAAACAAAATGCTAGAATCCAGAACATATTAGAAATTTACCTGGCCGCCATTAGACGCAAGACTTGGAGACGAGAGACAGTTCATAGTTGAGTGTGGGGGTAATGCATCCGGTCGAAATAAGCCTTAAAAATAAACATTCCATGTTTGTGACAATTATGCGATTTGCAATGCAACTTTCAAAATACCTTAAAGAATAAATTTACAGCCATCAATTCTAATATTTAAAAGTGACTTCACAGTTGTCAGTGCAATTATATTACTAGTATTGTCAATTTCAGTTTTGTTTGTTTGTTTTTGGATTTGTTGTAATGTTATCACAACTTCGCCCTCTGGCGATATATAATATATAGAAAATGGTAGTAGGTAATTGTAATAATTAATTATGCAATATAAATAAACGTTTCGGAAAAGAATTTTTTCACCATGATAGATTTGAATAGAGTGGGAAATCATAGAAAATAGAACAAAACACCCATAACGACTGGAATAATATAATTACAACTCTGACTGCCGTGTTTAGGTTGTTGTCGTTGTTTTGAATAATGTAGTCTTATATCATTATCATTGATACTTGCAGACAGATGATTAGGTATCATGACAGAATTGTAACAGATGAATGTAATGTGTTAGTGCATTCTGTCTACAACAATGAAAGCAAAAATACAGGCAACACATGGACAAATTTTGTACGTAAACTACCAGAAAATACTAAAACCAATGAGATTGGCCATGATGTTGACAGTTTTGAAAACAAATTAAAGCAAAAATTTATAAAAGATTTGTGGTCTCCTACCTTACATAAAAAAGAAAATAACAAGCTACGTACATATAACAATTTCAAATCTAAATACTCTTTGGAACCATATTTGGAATATGTAAATAATGTCAAACACAGAGTTGCCATCACTAAATTCAGAATTTCTGCACATAAACTACCAATAGAGAAATTAAGGTATTTACAAAGGAAAGGCTATGTATGCTATGTGATGATCTAGCTGTTGGCAATGAGATGCATGCTTTCTTAGATTACAGGAACCCAGAGATTGAATCTGCTAGGGGCAAATTTATGAGAGCAATCTCAATGCACAAAGAATTTCAAAGTTTGCCTAAGCAGATCATGTTTAAGAAACTGGTGAGTTCTAAAGAAAGTTTCATTGCCAGCAGTTTAGGAGTTATATACATAAAATCTTAGAAATTAATTTTTAATTTTTATTTTATTATTGTTGTATTTGTGCGTTACTATGTTGTTTTTTGGCCATAAGTTATGTAATTTCTTACATTATTTCGAGTCAAATAAAATATTCGATTCTATATTGTGTGTTGCGTCAGAGTGATCAATCATGGTTTATATATGTCTTTTACCTCCACGATACACCTAAACGTTACAATGTTCGGCATAGTTGTAATGCTGTTTGATTGGCGCCCTCAAATCAAAAGCAAAAAAAAAAAAAAAAAAAAAAAAAGCACTTGTAATTTAGACTATGCTGGCGCTATTTACAAAATCAAAATGGCTGCTGCCAATGAAGAAAGCATGTCTGCCGCTTCTGGGTCCAGCGAAGCAGACCCCGTAAAAAAGGGGAAAAAACCGCCGTGTTTGATTGTTCTCGGCATGGCAGGATCCGGAAAGACTACATTTGTACAAGTAAGTAATTCTAAAGATACTGAGGCAACGATCCTAAACCACAGCCTCTCAACACCAACGACATGAGTTTTCATGTACGAAGGCTGCACGTCGTGATTGTGTTTCTGCCTTGTTTCATTTTCCACAGGTATTCGGCACCTTTCATTAATAATACGAATTTTCCGTTGAAGTTAGCCATAACGTTATGGCCTCAGAAGGATGTACTATATATTCCTGCAATTTCTGAATACTTACAACACGTACATGTACATGCAACGTTGTTGCTTGGTGTTGTTTACGGGTCATTCCAATTTGTATCCACACCCCCCATATGGATGGTACATGTATAATTCCGGAGGGTATAAAATAATGTACTTTTTCTGTTCCGGGAGGAGGGGGGTCACCGTAAATGAATCCACAGGGTGATGATTTTACTGTGGGCTCCTACAGGGTTGGGTTATTGCAGTTTGTATCTGCAATTTTGGACTGTTAATTACATGGGGTACATTTTGGGTAAAAAAATGTTTTCCTGGATGCTGAAATGCTGTTGTATATTTCCAGGGAGGAGTTATCAAAAACTAATCCGAGGGGTACATTTTTTACTATAACCATCCATGTAGGGGGTGTGGATACAAACTGGAATGACTGGCGTAACGTCAGCTGACGTAACGGCCGAATGGCTAATGCACAGTTCCTCTATAGACTATAGAGGGACTGTGGCTAACGTAAAGTCAGCCAGGACTGTGGCCAGAATACATCCACTCAGAACTATTAGGGAGAATATTTCTTGAGGGGCTTGTTTTTGGCTCAAGGGACCATAGGTCCACTGAGCCTATGGGATGGGTTTCTGTCCTGCGTCTGTTGTCCGTCTGTCTACATTTGTATCTGTCTGTCTCTCTGTCTGTGCATGACTTCTTCTCAAAAACCACCCAACCATTTGACTCGATTTTTGGTGTGTGGATGCCTTGATGAGTGTAGATGGTAATTTGTTCATGAGAAGTCGATCTGCCAAAAATTATGCAAATTAGCCCCCCAAAACTCTACTGTGGCGGTCTATAGAGAGAGCGCCATCTATAGTATGGTGTTGGAATAACTTTGTTTATGAATAAGTCTGTGCGTCCCGTGCCGGTCAGTCAAATTGTTTCCGTCTGTGTGGGCAGGTCGATTCTTCTGTTAAATCGACTGAATTCCTTCCAAAGACTGAACTAAAGTGGTTATGAATGTTGTGGAACTCTTGGGACTGACGAAATCATGTTTGCGTGGAATTTAGTGACTGGCAGAAGTCTTTTCCGAAAGTTGTGGTTGTGTGGATCGACCGCAGAGGTTGCAGTCTGCTGTTGCCATTGTGTTGAACGAAACCGTGGTTGAACCTAGCTGCAATTCTGTAGCTCACTTGGTTTTGCTGTCGGTTATTTCGTTCGTCGTGGTGTTAACGTGAAACCATGGAGCTACAGTTCCATCCTTTGCGAGTTACCCTATTTTACCGAACTGAAATCATGTCTGGTCGTAACAGCCGTTTTTTTCACTATTTTCCTTAATTTCTACCTTTCTACTGTTGATGGGTCCGAGAACTATTTCATCAATTATTTTGAGGGCGATGGTCCGAAATTGGTCGATTTCAAGACGAAAACCGCGAAAAACTACAGCGAAATCCCTGTGTTTGCCGCCATCTTGAATAAGTTATCGTGATGCCACTAGGCGTGATAGTTGTCCCATTTCACGCATTTTCGTGTAATCCCTTAAATGAAATCGAGAATCACGCTTGCTTTCATTGTAAGAGCACGATTCAACTCCCATTGTTGCATTTATTTACAGTTGATATTGTTGTGTGAACAGAATACAACAGAGTGATCAATGGCACTGCCATCGTTTCTAGGGGAAAGCTTGACCTGTGTCACATGATCAAAACTGGTTGCTAAGGATGTAAAGCTTGGCCACGCGAGATCTCGCAGTGAGCAGAATATGACTTATTGGGTTTGTTATGTTGAGATTATCATATACCGTGTATTGTCCGGCCTTGTAACTCTAGGGGAAGGGCGCCCTCACATCAGGGCAATAATTACCCATATCGCGCTCGGTCCAGCTTACCTGGCATTCATCAATCAAAACAAAATGCATCATTCTAAATTATGTTGTGTAATTGATGTCACGCCATGGTAAAATTACACCTATAAGGTGTATGATAAACTTTTATGGACTGGATATGGATTATGCTGCCCTAGGTCGTACGATATGGCCCTGCAAGTTTGGACACTCTCGCCATTCGACATCTGGACACAAATGTGCATGAATATTAGTACAACTCCTTTTCTGGATTTGTCTATTTGAAATCTAACAGTTTTTTTGATTTATAAAAAAAAAATTTTATGAAATGTTTATAATGTCCCCATGTTTCTGCCATTCACTGTAGAAAGAACATTACATAGGTACTTTTACATTTTTATAAACGAAAATATTTATAAATGACAGTTAGATATTGTACAGTGCGCAGTGACGTAGGCTGTTCTAACATAATCAAATTTATACACAAACACTTGCCTGAATGGAGAGAGGTGCCTGGTGGATTTCAAATGAAAACAGGTATATTTATCATTTATAAAATTATACTATATATATAATTAACATGTCTGTCTGTTGGCATAGTAACATATAATTAAGGATTTATGAAATACATGATATATCAATGACTGATAAGATACAACTCAGATATCTATGTATGCAGATAGGCATTGAAAGTCTGAAACATATTTCCAAACAAAATTGTCAATAACACTGTAGAGGTTTGTAAATATCTGATTGCATGAACAGAAATGAGTGAAATTATTGCTGTATTCTACATAGCATTTGCTTTACAAACCAACCAACCCAAGATGAACACCAACCAATTCGTTCACAGACTCACTAATTAGTATTTGTTTTATAATTATCTCACATGACACCAACTACATCCCTCCTCTTATTATGTAATGTTCATCGTTTACTCTTCATCTTTTTTTCAGCGCCTTACTGCATATTTATATACCAAGAAACGGCCGCCGTATGTCGTGAATTTAGACCCTGCCGTTCATGATGTGCCATTTCCTGCAAATATAGGTAACTGTTTCTTAATAATATGACAGAACCCCACACCCTGCCCGTGGCTTTCGTTGCGTATGGAAGTTATTTTCACGAGTGATGCGGTGTATCCTGCGGCCGTGCACAAGCATACCATGTTCATTTGCCTATAGACTGTGAAAATACCGAAAACATTATTGCATGGGTGACACGCAAATTAGTTTTAGTCAAAATAAGTGACTGCCTAAAAATACCATTACTCTTGTTCAAATTTCATTTCCCTTGGCAAGTATATTCATGGTACCCCAAGGGAAAAATATCATACTAAATATTGTTCATTTCTGCTATGTTTCGAAAAACGGTACTCCTGAATGGCCTACTTAGTTTGCTGTCAGACCTCATTTGCATATGAGGTGTGGAAATACCGATTTTTATTTCAGTGACAAATCAAAATCAACTGCAGTACATTTGTAATAAAACACTGATTGTTGATTAATCCATATAATGAAAAAAAAACATATTGGAAGGAAAATTATGGTATTTGCGATAAATTGTATTAAAACAGCTTTTTACTCCCATTATTATTTTGGACCCTGAACCCTCGACCTTTACACCATTAACCTTCTTTGTTACTTTCTGTCGCATTTCACAACAAGTCTCCTATTCTACATTTGTGTATTTAGTAATTTCTCCCAAAAATTTTAATACATGTAACCACAATTTTTAAACTTTTCATTTTTCTGTATGCAATATCAAATTCTACTTGTTTGTACTAAAAATCAGTGAAAGTGGCAAATATTACAAAAAATACAACAAAATTTGCTTTAAAGACTGAGAGAAGTAAACCTGCCAGAACTGATTGTAAGTTACAAACCATGTCGTAAATATGCTGTCAATTGTGGTTATTTATAGATGTGCGCGACACTGTGAATTACAAAGAAGTGATGAAGCAGTACGGATTGGGACCGAATGGTGGAATTATGACATCGCTAAATTTATTCGCTACTAGGTTTGATCAAGTTATGAAGTTTATTGACAAAAGAAGTCAAGAATACGAGTAAGGATATATACATTGTAAATTGTAATTAGTCAGATTAACATTTTCACCACCATTTCTCTCTTTTTATCACAAATTCACAAAATAGTCCCTGTGCTAGTCTGCAAATTTCAATTTTTGTGAGTAAAAACTGAAAATTGACTCAAATTTTGTCCCTTTGCTCCAAAATTAGGGTTCATTTCCAGAAATATTGAAGAATATAAGAAAAAAGTACAAAACCGTTTTGGGTGAGAAAGTCTGGTGGTGAAAAGGATAACGTACATTTATCGTATTGTGCTTGTCATATATTCATGCATATGTCATCCCAACTTTTCTATTGTTTCAGTCATTTTTTGAATGATGATAATTGCGTTCAAATACAGCTCTTTAGCACGAGCTAAAGGTAAAAAAAGTTCAAAAATGTTAACCTGTGCTAAGAAGACGTGCGTGAATTCTAAGCAAGGAAAAAGGAGAAACATTGTACATCGCAGACTTTGAACAACACACTGACTGTAGCATTCACAGTTATCATGTTGCGATTCAAAAAAATAGTTGAACTGTATTTGGCTTAGACTGACATTGCATAAACGGTTGGTGTGAAAAATCAACTGTGGATAATATATGTAATAAAATCACCTTAACCGGTGAAAGTGGTTCTGATGGTCCACTAGAATGTGTGAAACTTACGATAACGTGTTGCAGCACTTTAAATTATACAAAAAGTATTTATTTAAAA